TTCTGACACCAGTGATCAACTTTTTATTCCGCTCAGAGTGGTCGCATAGACCAGATGGGTGGNNNAATCAAATAAATAAATAAATAAAATTTATTTTTATTTATTTGTATGATTTATTTATTTTATTTACAATAATCTATTTCTTTTACCAAACTGGTCAAGGTTATAAACTGGATTTTTTTGAAATATCAGGAAAATGTAAGTGATGTTGATAAAGAAATAACACAGTTCTTACAAAATACAGTGGTGCCTCGCAAGATGAGTGCTTCGTTTTACGACAAAATCGCATAACGACGAAATTTTGCGATCGCAAAAGCGATTGCAAAACAATGTTTCCTATGGGTTTTTTTCACTTTGTGATGATCGGAGCTTATAGATGTGTATCCTTGCTTCAATGGTTACGAGAAAGTCTTTGACGAAGTCCAAAACAACAAGCTGGATGAACAAGAGATACAGTATTCATATAATTGCCAACCTCTACTAGCAACAAAAAGACAACTGAGAGGAAGTGGGCATTGTCATAGAGAATGGTCATTGCAACTTGTTGTACAATTACCCAAACTTCTCTGATGTCAGATAACTGGCTCAGCTGCCAGGAATATACAGCTGAAACTGAAATTCTGACACCAGTGATCAACTTTTTATTTTAATGCATTTCCATTGGGCTTTTTAAAATCGGTTTACGATGTTTTCATTCTACAGCAATTTCGCTGGAACGAATTAACATTGTAATGCGAGGCACCACTGTATACAAAAATGCCAGTTAAACTGTTTACAGGATAAAAGAAGTTTTCAATTACATATACAGTATAGCAATCGGACTTGGTAGGTATACTTAGAGAGCCTCTTCCATTAAACGGGGGCTATGACCAAAAAGGTAGTGCCCCAATACCAGTAAACATTTGTTCTTTAGTGAGTAATACATTCATATAACTTTTTTAAAAAATCCCAAAGAAACCCACCTGTCCAACACAGGAAGGCCCATTTAGATACTTTTCTGAACCTTTGGCAGACTACCAAGAGAATTTATTATTATTACCACCACTATTATTATTACTACTGTTATTACTATCCTTATTGGATCCCTTTCTATCTTAAGGATTAGAAACATGCTTTTCCTGCTCTCAAACAACCATGACCTGAAAGCTAAACATGTTAGGAATGTAACAAGATCTAGCAAGAGAAGGAAAAGGCCCTTCCAACGAAAGCATCATAGACAACCTCAGAATTCAACACGGAAGACAAAACTTTCTCAAAGGGTGAGGCTCCATGTCATGGAGCAGCTGAAGGTGGAGTTTCCGGAGTATAGCCCAGAAAGCTAGAGCTGAAGTGAGTTCTAGCCTGAACCAACCGGTTGCAGAGGAGGTAAATCCACAGGTGAAGCAACAGGGTGTAACAGCATCCATATAAATAATGCCTTGGGTACAAATCGGAGGGAGGAGGCCACTGGAGCGGTAACTCTGACTCTGTAGGGAGTGTTACTCATTGTATCTTAACTTTCTCCACCCTAACCTTTAATTTATATAAAAAAATATCAAGTGGACACTTTCCCTGATTACATATAACTTGTTGAGGCTTGGCCTCAGTGGGCGCAGTCCTGAGTCCAATTTCCAAGGCAAGCAGGATCCAGAAGGGGATGTCAGTTCAGCCCTGTTGGCAGCAGGTTTGTACTAAAAAAAGAGAATCTCTTGCACGGCCTGGCAGTGCTCAGAAGGCATGATGGGTGAGCATGGAACCTGGATGCCAAGGAGCAAGGCAAGCCTCCAAATCTGCCAAGGAAAGGTACACTGGACCTTTTCATTCAGACAGGCCTCTTGTATGGAGGCTAGTTCGCTGCTGAAGAAAATCTAAGGGGCCAGGTGTGGGTTGTGTCTGTTATCATTGCTTTTCAAATTTATTTTTATGAATCAGTAATGTTAAAACAAATGGGAACGTTAATCCCTTTATATATATCACATGACCACAACTCAGTACAACAGAGGTATGGAAAAAACTGGAGTACATATGGCTGGTGCTTTTTATGAATCAGTAATGTTAAAACAAATAGGAACGTTCATCCTTTTATATATACCACATGACCACAACTCAGTACAATAGAGGTATGGAAAAAACTGGAGTATATATGGCTGGTGTGATCAGGCCCTGAGCATACTATGCAGCAAAATTTCAGCCTTTGTATTCATTTTTCTAGCTGGAAGAGGGAATTATGAATTAAATGGGCAGCATCCCATCTGCTCAAAGAGTTGATCCACCTTATTTTGGAATCCTCCATCTGGAAACTTGCTCTGTAGTTCCTTTGATGTTCATTTCTGTTCAGGCAAGTTTTTGGCATATAACACTGACCTATAAAGCACTAAACAACTCAGTATAGACTGTCTGAAAGACGGTATCTAAGGCATATGTCACTGTGGGCAATCAGACATTTCCAAGATATGTGCAACACATTACTGTGCCAAATGCATTCCTGGCTCCCCACAAGACCTGGACATTCAGCTTCAGAGATAAATCCAGGAGCACACCCAAGACATTACCCTAGAAAATGTAACAATATCCAATACAATTTGAATCCATGTTCCCTGATCTGTCTTTCAACTGAGACCCTGTCTACGTTTCTCAAAAAACCCACAATATGTAGCATTTTAATTTTAGCCAACTCAAGTCAATTGGTTTTTGAGTAGTTTCCTGCATTCCTACTTAATAATTGAAATTCTCCCTTTTAAAAGTGTCTGCAAGGTTCGTAGTAGGCTTAAGTCAATTAAGAAAACAGGGCACTAAAATAAATAGCCCTCTGGTGGCCATTAATTCTAACTTGCTTCCTAAGAAAAGAATACGAGTCAGAGAAAAACAGATACACACTTTGGAATTCATGATGTGAATGTGAAAGTTTGCTTGGTATTTAACACAGTCAAATCCCAGGTTCTATATATATACTGGTTTATACAGGATTTCCTGACTACTATCTTTTGAGCTAAATTCTAAGATCCATCTTGGACAGGTGGTATACAATGATACTATGGTCTGCGGCATCAAAAGCCAAAGAAAGGTCCAGCAGAACGAATAGACACACACTCCCTTTGTCTAGTTTAGGTTGTCCACCCAAGCAACCCAAACTGTCTCCATCCCGTAAACAGGCCTTGATCCATGCTGAAATGGATCAAGATAATCCACCACCACCACTGCAATTTGACTGTCCTGATCTCTAATGTTTTTCCCATCATGGCTGTAGTCCCATCCCACTTGTTTCATCATTGCACACGCCAAATCAAGGGGTTAGTTTGACTTTTGCAGGAGGGGAGGGAACACTTAAGAGCTATTGTGTCTACTGGCTTGGCTACGTCCCCCTTCCAGAGACCAACCAGGGCTTTTAGCAGGATCACCTACCAAGATGACAGGAGATTCCCCATGATCTGTCAGGAAACCATTTGGTGCAAACCATGTTAATTGTCAGGAAACCATTTGGATCCATCAGCCTCTGGTGCAAACCATCTTAATATATCCACTACAGGTCTTGGTGATGGCCACAAGTGAATTTGCACAATTAAAAGTAGTGCACCAGCTATGTCCATTTCTTGAGAGATCTGATCTGGCCGCTGTGATACATACCCTAGTTACTTCCCAGGTGAATTATTGTAATGTGTGTACAGCTGCCGATGGAAAGCATCAGGAAACCTCAAGGGGTCCAAAACGCAGCAGCCAGACTGCCAACCAGGGCTGATTACAAGGATCACATAACCTCCCCTGTTACAGCAGCTCAGTTAACCAGGCACAATTCAAAGCACTAAATGTCTTGAGTCCAAGCTATCTCAAAGAGTGTATCTCCCTTTATGAGCCGGCTTGTGTGTTATGATCAAGAGAGGCCTTTCTCTCAATACCACCACCTTCACACGCGCATCTGATGGGGACACAGAAAAGAAGGCCTTTCTCTCAATCCCACCACCTTCACACGTGCATCTGATGGTGACACAGAAAAGAACCTTATCTGTTGCTATTCCCAGACTTTGGAACTTCCTCCCACTGGAGGCCAGACTGCCCCATCTTTGCTATCCTTCTGCAAGTAGGCAAAGACCTTTATCTTCATGCAAGCCTCCCATCAGTGTCCAGCTATATGTGTGTGATTTTTAAATAGACTGCTATGCATTACTTCTTTGATTGGATTTTTAGTACTACTTGGATTTTCCATTTTTGTTTTCCATTTTTCACTGGCATTATATATATGTGTGTGTGTGTGTGTGTGTGTGTGTCTGTACGTGTATATATATATGTATACATATGTATGTATATGTATGTGTTTCGCAACTATATATATATGTATATGTGTGTGTGTGTATATATGTGTGTGTGTGTGTGTGTGTGTACACACAAACACACACAGGGTGAAAGAGGAGAACGCAAAAAATGGTCTGAAGCTCAACATCAAAAAACCGAAGATCATGGCCATTGGTCCCATCACCTCCTGGCAAACAGAAGGGGAAGATATGGATCATGTGATCACTGCAGATGGTGACAGCAGCCACAAAATTAAAAGACGCCTGCTTCTTGGGAGGAAAGTGATGAGAAACCGGCTTTGTGGCTTGCAAGGCTCAGCTCTCCACTGGGCTGCCGCGCTGAGATCCTCAGCCCAAATGGTCATTTAATCGTTTAATTAGAATCCTCCCACAGACAATTAAGACACGCCTCCCCCCTCAGCGTATTTCCATGTGGACTCTCCGTCGGAGAAAGCTTCAGAAAATGATTCAAAGGCGCCTTCTAGCGGCTCTGCCTCCGAGCAAGTGCCTGTTTTCGTTTCTGTTTGTCGTTCGTTCGGCTTTTTGACGCCTTCCGGCTGGAATCCAATCCTGACGTTACAGTTCCAGTCCGGATTTCGGTTTTGCCGCACTCGCCCCTCTTTGATTGCACTGGGCTCTCGGACGCGCAACAGACCCCGGCGGCGAGAGGGTGTCTTCGGTTTTCCACGTCGGAAGCCCGTGAGTTGAAATAAGGGTGCACAAGAAGGGGACGGGTGTTGTGGGAAGGACGGGATCCACACCGGGCGAATGCACACCCTTCATCACCGGTTTCCACAGTGGTTCTCAACCTTTGGACTGTCCACCTTTTTTGGACTTCAACTCCCAGAATCCCTTACCGTTGCTCACGCTAGAACAGCTTTCTGGGAGTTGACGTGTAGAGGATTAAAGCCTAAGAGCTATTTCTCTTCTCTATGGATGGGGGCCCTTCAGAACTTACCGAATTCCAGCACCCACCATCCCTGACCGTTGAGTGGTGTTAAGAACTCAGCGATGTCTGGAGGGCCACATGGAACATTGCAGAATGTGTGGCATATTTTGTAGTCCAAAATAGAAGTTTCCAAGCTTGGAAAGATGTCAGTACAATTGCACTGGGTTTGCAATTGGAGATCAGCACTGCAAGTATTGCAGCATTAGAGGGTATTTGCTGGTGCATGCACTGAAGAAGCGGAGGGGGGCAGAACTTCTGGAAATGCACTGGGCGGGGAGGTGTAGAAATGATAAAACCATTCCTTAAATATTTCACATACCTTGAAACCCTATCAGGATCACTATGAGTGGGTTCTGATTTGGTGGCACACAACAACAAAACTACCGTTGACTAACCTGGATTATTGGAAGTCTCCATCTATATAAGGAAGCAAAAGATTCTATTTCCATATTTTGAAGGAATAAGAACAGGAGGGGTAATGGTCACAGTACTGGACTCTAACTTAGGGTCTTGGGTTCCAGTCCCCACTGCACCATGACAACCTTGGGCCAGTCATAGCCTCTCAGCCTGATGTACCTCACAAGATTGTTGTGAGAATAAAGTGAGGGGGAGGATAGCTAAGTAAACCACCCTGAAATCACTGGAGAAAAGGTGAAGATAAATGCAGCTCATAAAACAGAATGTGGAAATGTTAGTTTTGGACTACAACTCCCTAAATCTCTCAACCGACAAGGTTGTGGCTATGTTGGCTGGGGCCTTCTGGGAACTGTAGTCCAAACATTCTCAAGCTCTGCAGAAGAGATTACAGTCTTCAACTGTCTTCTTGTGGTTCTGTCCACAGACAGAATGGCTGACCCACATTCCCTTGCGCCCTCCTCCTGCGACTGCTTTGTCTCCCTTCCCCCCGCCTCAGCCACCAGAGAGGTAATCTTTGGCAAGAATTCGGACCGGCCAAAGGATGAAGTTCAAGAGGTTGTCTACTTCCCTGCAGGATCTCATGCCAGGGGGTCAAAAGTCCAGGTGAGTTAGAAGCTGGGAAGCGGAAGAAAAGGGAATTAGAGCACACATTGGTACAGGGGAAACATTCACCAGAATCTCCTACCAGTTTGTACTTGCATAAGGGAATTCTCATAAATCTCGGCAGCAAATTGCTGGTTCCATTCCTGGATGTGTTCCTGATCGTATGTGACTGGATCCACACCCAGGGACTCAATAAGCACCACATTAATGAGGGGCAATTTGCCAACAAGTGTGGATTGGTAATGGGATTCTGGCCAGTATTGTGGAAAGCAATCAGAAATGGAGACTCTACAATTTCATGTTGAACTGGTATATCAGAGGCTTGAGAATTCAACATATACCTTATTGCCCACACACTGCACTCTCCAAGAGTACAAAAACTTCTGCAAATTATCAGGGGGGAAATAGACAAAGTCATCATCTCAGTATCAAGTTCATGAGAAGCTGATGAGCATCTGGCCCTCTGTGTGTTTCTGGACTACAACTCCCATCAGCCATAACCAACATCACAGATCATTGTGAGGGATGAAGAGAGCTACAGCCCAACAAAATCTGGAGGGTCACATGTACCTCAGCTTTGAGGCAGAATAGTGTATAACGTCTTGCAAAAAAGCAAGATTTAAACATCAAGGCCGATGTCCTCCCCAGTGCACGTACCTTGAAGTGGATCAGGCAGAGCAAACCCATGCAGTCATTCTGAGTCGGCCTGCCTGGCTGTGGGGAGCAGAGATGGGGGCCAATGAACATGGCGTCTGCATTGGGAATGAAGGTGTGTGGACCAAGGAACCCGTTGGTAAGGAGGAAGCTTTGCTGGGCATGGATCTAGTCAGGTAAGAGAAGCTGATGAATCCAGATATAGTGGGGCCATGTGTGTGTGTGTGTGTGGGGGGGGGAGATCTTCCATAGTGAGGGGAGGACAGAATGCGGTGCATGGCCTAGGATCCCTCCAGATATAGTGGGGCCATGTGTGTGTGTGGGGGGGAGGTCTTCCATAGTGAGGGGAGGACAGAATGGGGTGCATGGCCTAGGATCCCTTTTTTTTCTCCACACAAAAAAAGCTTCCTCGCATAGAGGTGTCAACTTTGCTATACCCCCCTTGCCTGTTTTAGGTCTGGGGGGTGCTTTCTTCAATATCAGAAGTGACAAGAAGTCACGGTTTTGAAACCCTTCTCCACAACATGGCAGAAGGGGGAGGGGATGGATTTCTTTTCAGAAATAAAAGAAAGAGAACTTGGTAATTTGGAGAGAGCTGAGTGGTCACAGGGTTGGGGAGGGTTATCCACCCACAGACTGCATGACGCCTACCCTGGAAACAAAACTCTTCTCTCCCTCCTTCTCTCTGTCTCATCTGCCTCCTCCTTCTCTTTCCTTCTCCCTCCTTCCTCATCTTTTTCTCTGTCCTCTCCTTTCCTTATAGATATTTTTGGCGGGGGGGGGGAAGTTGGAAAAATCCAACTGGAGACCTTCTTTGCCTGCCACTTTCCCTCTCAGAATGTTCTGTCTTCCCCAACTCAATGAACAAAAGAGGGGTTAAGCCTGGGCTGTATTTTTAACAGTGAGGAGTTGCTCTTGGCAGGTTATCTTACTGTTAAACTATCCTTTTCTTCCCAGATTTTCTGCAAGGTCCTTTTGAAAAACGTATCAAAAAAATAAGAATATAAGATATGTTCAGCCATAATTGTGGTATAGAGGAATAGCAGTTGGAGTGGGTCTCGGGAGACCTGGATCCAAACCATCACTCAGCCATGAAACTCACAGGATGAACTAAGGCCAATTACACTATTTCAGCATGCCCTGCCCCATAGGGATGTTGTGGGGACAAAGTAGGGAGGAAGGGGGAACCATGTACATTGCTTTTAGTTCTCTAGACGAGGAAGGGAAGGATATACATGTAACTAATTACCATCATCCTCCAGCATTCTGTTCATAGGTTGACCGGGCAGTTGCTTATGGAAAGCCTATCTGCAGGACGCAAGTGCAAAAGCAAAGCTGTCCTCTTCTCTTGTTCTCTCAGAAAGAAAAGAAGTGTGCTCTAAGTACAATTTTATTAAGCAGTATTCAGCTGCATTAAACAGTTGACATCCATATATGGTTTATTAATAACACATGATGTATTTCAGGCTGGGTTTGGAGAGGGGCAGCAGTGCCCACGAAGCCCTCGGGGTCATAACAGCCCTTCTGGAACGATATGGCCAAGGGGGCAACTGCAAGGAGGAGCCGACCCCTTTTATTTACCATAACACCTTCCTCCTGGCGGATCGCACTGAAGCCTGGGTCTTGGAAACAGCTGGGCGATATTGGGTGGCTCAGAGGATTCGAGGTGAGCGGTTGTTCAAAAAATAAAAATAAAAACCATAGTGATAGGGAACTGGGCCCTCACTGATAGTGTTTCATGTGGACTGTGTGACTCATTTCCTAACTACATTTAATCTGATGGTTGTTGTGGGTTTTTCGGGCTCTTTGGCCGTGTTCTGAGGGTTGTTCTTCCTAACGTTTCACCAGTCTCTGTGGCTGGCATCTTCAGAGGACAGCACTCTGTGCTCTGGTGTAGTTTGCTTGGGAGTCAAAAACAAAACAAAACACGCATCACTCCCAAGTAAACTACACCAGAGCACAGAGACCACAACCATTAGATCCCAGCCGTGAAAGCCTTCGCGAATACATTTAATCTGTTTGTAAATAATTTTTAAAATGCCAGCAGCAACTAATCAGCTGAAAAACAGATTAAAATAGAATCTAATTGATATAAAAATCAAAGGATCACTGCACAGGAACAGTTTTCAAAAAAACACCAGCAACAACTGGCTCTCTCAGGAGTTTCAGATGGGGACCCTTCTGGAGCTGCACAAAAGCACTCCTTTCTCCCAAACTAGGTGAGCCGTATTGGGTGCAGTTTGCAGGTGTGGGTGAAAAGAGATGAGAAGAGCCATTATAGGTCAGACCAAAATTTTCCTCAGTGTCATTTTTTCCAGTGCTGGCCAGTCAGACCCAAAGCTTAGGAAAGTTTGGGGTTTTTTAAAATCACATTGTCTGCCAGTGGCCGTCTTGACTGAAAGTTTGTGAGATTCATGGGGCAGAACTCTGATTCTAGCTGTATCTTCCACCTAGAGGTTGAACCAGTCAGACCCAAAGCTTAGGAAAGTTTTTGGGTTTTTTTTTTATCACATTGTCTGCCAGTGGCTGTCTTGACTGGAGGTTTGTGAGATTCATGGGGCAAAACTCTGATTCTAGCTGCATCTTCCACCTAGAGGTTGAACTATAGTACTCTTATGTAGACATTACTGTTAACTGGTGTCTCGTGTCCACGTCACCCTGAAGTGTGAAGGAGTAGTTGGGGTAAGTCCCAAATGAAACTGTTCTGACATATAACATGGGAAATTCCATGTGTGCATCTTTCCACCCTTGGAGATACAAGTACAATGGGAACACATCAAATCATTGACAGGTTTTCCCCCCATAGGAACGCATTAAACGTTCATTGACATGAAATCATTGACAGTTTGCTACCCTTTCATGGCACTCCAGATCTTCTGCCTGAAGCAGCTACTTCACTCTGCCTAATGGTGGGGCCAGCCTTGGAAAGAGGCATTCCTGGCCCCAACTTCAAAGTGAAAACTAAGTATCAGGGCCAGAACTCATTCAGACCCTGAGGAACTCAAATATAAGATGAAAATTAAGGATATTTTTTTTAAAAAAACTGCTTACGAATTAAGTTTAAAATACCAACCTACTCAGACATATTAAGGATAGTTCAGAACTGGAGGGGAAAAAATTAAATATACCTCTCAGAAAATCCCAGCCAGCATTGCCATTGGCTTTGTTCCTAATACACCAGTGATAGTTGGGGGATTTTGGAAGTTGTTCTCCAAAAAAAAGTAACTGTTCTCAGTTCTGGGCTTGTTCAATCAGTGAAGCCTTTCTTCTCCCCACCCCCCAAACTTTCCACGACTCCAAGTCTGATCTGTTGTTTTTCTTCCTTCCACAGAAGGTGCCCGGAACATCTCCAACCAGCTGAGCATTGGGACAGACATTACTGCTGAGCATGCAGACCTGAGGCAACATGCACAGAAGCAGGGGTGGTGGAGTGGCAAAGGGGAGTTCAGCTTCCAGGAGGTGTTCTCACTCACTCACCAGCCAGTCCGCATGGAAGCCGCCAAAGCTCGGTACTGTGCTGGCCAGCAGCTCCTCTGCCAACATTCAGGTGTGCTATCAAGATGTATGTGAAGGAGAAGGGCTTTGGAAACTAAGCTGAGATGGGTGGCAGTGGTGCCAGAGGATCAGGGAGGTGGGTAGTGTGGGCGGCATATAAATTGAATAAATAAATAAATAAATAAATAAATAAATAAATAAATAAATAAATAAATAAATAAATAAATAAATAAATATGAAAGCATTGGCCTGTACTGCTTAAGACTCTGTTAGAGCATGGGTGTTATTATGTGCCATTAAGCTGGAACTGATTTATAGTGACCCAGACAGGACTTTCAAGGTAAGTGAGATATTTAAGAAGTAGTTTTCCCAGTTCCACACTGTGAGTTTCCAGGGCTGAGTAGGGGTTCGAGCCCAGTCCTCCTCAGTCCTAGTCCATCACTGTATCCACCACTACACCACACTGCATTTCCCAGAGCAGGGATAAGCAGAAAGTTATACTGGAATCTACTGGTACAGTGGTGCCTCGCATAACGAGCGCACTGTTTAATGACGAATCCACATAGCGATCTATTTTTTTGGGATCTCTAATGCGATCGCATTGCGATGTTCTGAATGGGCAAACATCGCATTGCGATGATCGGTAAGTGTTTCGCTTACCGATCTTTGCATTGCGATGTTTTTAGAACAGCTGATCGGCGGTTCCAAAATGGCCACCGGGGGCCCAAAATGGCCACCGCAAGCATTTTCGCGCGCTGCCCTCTCTTACCGAGGCAGCGAAAATGGCGGCGCTATGGAGGATCTTCACTGAACGGTGAGTTTGGGCCCCATAGGAGCGCATTAAACGAAGTTTAATGCATTCCTATGGGGTTTTTAGTTCCATTTAGCGACGATTCCGGATAGCGACGATTAATCCAGAACGGATTACCATCGATATGCGGGGCACCACTGTATTTCTCTGGATGATTTGCAGTGTGTATGTAAAAGCTTATCATTTTCAGTTGTAAAATAAGAAATATGTAATAAGTTTTCCCTTCCTCAGACTAGGCTACTGAAATGAACAGAGCTTAAAACAGATACTTTTTTCGGATTGTCATTCCCAGAATCCAGCTCCCACCCCAAATCCCATGCTGGTTTGAGAATTCTGAAGTTATAGTCCTCAAAAATAATTTTTCCCACCTTTGGAAATGAGTGATGCTTGGGATGAAAGCCAGGCGAGGGTTTGTTGGGGAATAAGAATTGCAAACTAATTCTGATATAGAAATCTAAATCTTTAGCTGAGCATTGGCTCAGAGGGCTGGTATTCTCAATGCTAAGCCTACGCATGCCCCCAAAGCCACCATTCCTAATTGGGCCCAGTTGCTGGATCTTGGGGTTCCAGCAGAAAGAGGATCCTCTAAGCCTGTGGTTTGCCCATTTATGGCCCTTGGTACCACGGTCACTTTTCTTGAAATATTCATAAGAAAACATCTTACTTGTGGAAAGGGAGATGATGGTATAGGTTTATAATAATCTTGGAACTGCGGAGCTGGAAGGGAACCTATGGATCATTGAGTCCACCCTTGTCAAGAAGGCCCAGTGGGGAACTGAACTTTCAACCTCTGACTCCGCCCCAGATGCCTAAGCTACTGAGTTCATATGGTGGATGGGAGCATTTCTGTTGAGTCTGAGGTTTTGTAACTGATGTGCTGTGGCTTCTGTCAGTAGCTGTAGCCCTCCAGATGTTGGACTGCAGTTTCCATAGAATCTCCTGATGAGAATTGTGGTCCAACAATATCAGAAAGGCTACAGTTGCCTTCCTCTACTTTATAGTTAAGACATTGCTTTATGTTTCAACAAAGTATGTAGGCTGGAAGATCAAGTGCAAATTTGAAGATTCTGGCCCTCCCGATACTTATTGGATTATGACTGCCATCATCATTGACACAGGTCATGCTGAGGATGGGATGGTAAATACAGTAACGGTGGGCGGAGACTGGATTGGTAGACTATCGTCCCAAAACCTCAATGCTGTTCTGATATTGTCCATTTCTGAAGACAACAAAATATGTGTGGTCCAATGGCAGGTGGATATAGGTCAGAAGTGGTCAGCTTGGGACTCTTAGGGTGTTGTTGGTCTATTACCTTTCCCTTTCATTTAGCCATGCAGGCTAGAACTAATGAGAAGTCTAGTCCAACAATATCTGAAGGGTCACAACGAGCTGCCCAGCCTCCTTCTTTTAATTGCTGAACACAATGCTTTAATTGCTTTAAAACAATGAAAAGAATGGGTGGGATGTCCAGTGTGCTTTCTTCTTTGGTATTCTGCAACATTCCTTCTTTGCTGTTGTAGGGCAGATTACTGCAGAAACCATAATGACCATTTTGAGTGACAAGACGAGTGGAATCTGTGTTGATTCAGAAGGTTTCTGCACCACAGGAAGCATGGTGTCCATTCTGCCACAGGATTCCCAATTGCCTTGTGTCCACTTCTTCACTGCCACACCAGATCCTTCCAGGTTAGCCAACAATTACAGCTTAATTTCAGATGACAAAAGCTTCTCGTTTCCAATAACAACCAGCCTCTATCTTTATTTTATCCCAGAGAACACTTCACAGTGGAAGGCAGGTCCAAATGGACAGAGGAAACTACTGTATATTGAGTCAGGCTATTGCATTTATCCTATCCAATCCCATCTATACTGACTTGCAGTGGTTCTCCAGGGTTTCAGGCAGGAGTTTCATTAGAGTTGTCTCATGATGTTGGGCATTGAACATGGGATATATTGAATATAAAGCACATGCTTTTACTACTTAGTTAACAGTTCCTTGCCTAAGATGCTCAGGATAGTCTGCCATCTAATTGGAATGCTCCTGATAAAAGCATCATCTGGGGTAGGCAGTGGTGGCCTACCTCCACTGAAAGCCAGGATACTGTGAGAGTACTGTGTCAGTATTCTGACTCTTGCATTAGAATATGACTGTCTTCAAACTATAGTTCAATCCATTTCTTTGTGAAATCTTAAATCAACTCCTCAACTCTTTATCTTAGAGCAGGAGCAGGAAATAGAGGGCAAGGTCACTTTCTTGGATGTGTTGCAGGCAGGCTTGGATTTAAATTGCTATGCCACCATTAACTTGTATTTGTACTATTTTCCAACAGTAAGGTACAAGAAAGACAAGATAGAACCATATGAAGTACTAGCAAGATTCTTGATTTCTGATTTTACTTTATTGTCATAATGGTACATAGTCTAGTGCAATGTAGCCAATTTGGATCTTTAGTGATAATCTTATAATTTTTATAAAGATAGAATTACTGAGAGTAAAGGCTTTTGTAGGGATGCTTGCTAATATTCAAATTTATACATAACAGCAACATGCATTTAAGTTATTATTTCAAAAGGGGTGGCTCGCTTCAAAGACTTTTCATGGCTTAATACAAATTTAAAGAACCATCTATCCATAGACAAGGCATAAGTGAAATAATTATTTCAATTACCAGTACTTTTGCTTTATTTCAGTAGGGTAAACAATTGAAATTACAGTTAATAGATTTGTGAGCATATAGAAGAGGACTGAAGATGTTTGTTTCTGGAAGCATTTAATTGGCTTTGGGTTTTTTTCCACTTGTTTATACTGGTAGTTGGTTTTGTACAGTAGTGGTTTTAAATATTGCTTACCATTTGGTGCTCCATATATCATTTTTTAAAAATGCATCTGAATTTATATCATGGTTTTCCAGTCTTGCCCTCAATTGTACTTTTAGGGACTGGGCAGATTTTGAACTCAATACGTGTGCCTGAATTTTGAATGTTGAAGCTGACAAACTCTGCTTCTCTCTTGCTTGACAGGTCTGTCTTCAAACCCTTTATCTTTGTTCCCAACATCACTTCCTTCCCTCAGGTGAAATCACCAAGCTTTGGTGACAAAGATCCCATTAAGCAGAATCCACGGTTTCAGAGCCGGGTCGACCGACGGCATGAGCTCTACAAGCAACATCAATTAGCCCTGGAAGCCATGGAACAGAATCAGGTGACCTGCTACACTTTGGGGGCAACTCTTTTAGCTTTGTTTTCTCTGTCTGGCATGATTTCTCGGCATCACTTTCTGCAGCCACATGGGATTAGTATCTGCCATGACAGGAGTGGGGGGCAACAGTGTATTGAAACATAGTGCTTGGCAATTCAGGATAATATGACCTTTCTCTCCAACCCTCCAGGATGAGAGACAGGTAATCCAGAAGAATATGCAGACATTTCAGCGGCAGACCCTGGAGATAATTAAAAACCTGTTGGTAGGCTCTGTACCTCTGAAACCCCAGGAGTTAAGTGACCTCTTCTATAAATCAGTGGACACAGAACTCAAATTGTACAAAAGATAGACACCTATCTGGACAGGTAGGTTGAGGTTTCATCCTGATACTACTGAGAAATGAATGTGTCACAGAGCTATTTTCTTTGAACTTCAACGGCTAGGCATGCTGGCTGGGGGATTCTGGGAGTTCTTGTCCAGAAAAGATGTCAATGTTCTGATGACTCCTACTCATGGAGGAGGATGAGGATAATGTTTTATTTTCTTAAGCTTAATGTCCTGGTGTTAGAACATGCAGCCTATGGAACTCATTGTCAGTGAATCACATCAGGCTGTTAGCACAATTGTTTGCTTTGAAAAGCTCATGAAGGCTGGATTCTAACCATCTTCCAGGCAAGGCATAATAATAAAATCTGAACTGTTCAACTACTGGTAATGGAATTTGTCATGTATTTTAAGTGTACATGACTTTGCTATATTTTATTATAAAATGTCTAAAACTACTGCTATAGTTTAGAATATTTTAGGGAACTCCAAAAAGTAGGTCAATGGTTTGTTTTTAATTTTCTTTCTTAAAAATCCAGAATATATGTAACATGCCCAAAAAGTTCCAAATAAAAACAACAACTTAAGACTTCAGCAGAAAGGCTACAGATATACTGTATTGCCATTATACTGTATATCCGAACCCAATGTGGCGCAATACATACAAGGTGTACGTATTCCCTTTCCTAGGTCTGAGAACTTGGGAAGATGAAAGAGAACATCTTATAGTCTTCTAAACTTGGCACTGAGATCCTGGCATTTGAATTCATGCCCATTTTGCTGCTGCCCTCTGCTAGTGAAATGCCTTGAAGTGGAGCTACCATCTAAATAGAAGTATAAGGTTCCATTCCATGTGCAACTTGCTATTTGGGGGAAACCTGGAGTTTATATAGTTTGCACTCAAGGGCATATGCAAGCCACCAGTTCACGTTTCTGGAGTAGCTTTAGAGCTGCCTAAAAAACCCTTCAGAGTGCAGCCTCATAGTACATTTTCCATGCTCTATATGAGCTGGCTGTTAGCAGAAATCAGTTTTCATCCAGGAAATATTTGCAGTGCAGAATATTGGCAGGCATGGATAACTGTGTTACAGTAGAAAAGGCAAACCCATCTGGAAAGAGCAAGCCTGCAATTGGCCTCACAATCTCCTTCTTTTTCTTGGAAGTAGGGCTTTTGCAAATTACAGCCAAGTCTTATGCGTTTCTGACTTCTACTGGCAAGCTTGCTAACTACATGCCACTACATTTCCTTCTACTTAAAAAGAAAAAGATGGACGACAGCATGTCTGTTAAATTCAGTGCTTTGAATCTTTTTTGATAGAGTAAAAAGCTTACACAAAGGATATTTTTTGCATAATGAATATCATTTTTTCACTTTACTGGTTGCAATTTTGGTTGAACTAGGCCCCTTTCCTTTTGAGTTCTTCACCTGGGCTGAGCTTGTGCCCTCAGCCTTCCCCTTTGGAGTGTTCGGTCCTATCAGAAATGCTGGATGTGTCACTTTTAAGAGTGGGTTAGAAGCAGTGTGTCGCTCAGTTTGGAGCGTGTTATCTTCTAAAGTAGGAGTTGCTGGTTCTGATCCACTGTGCACATTGGGACTGCTTTGGCTTGTGTTAAACACCAACTGTGTCAGCTTCTGTTGTTCCTTCAGTTCCTCCAGACGGGCCTCATGTTCCTTGATTGCCTCTTCTTGCCTATAGGCTGAGCGGCTGGTGAATTCACTATGAAGGCCCACAAAAAAGTCTAACAGAAACAGAAAACAAGAAGATTTGACACATTATGATGCATGTGATACTGCCACTCAAGATGTCTTCTCCAGAGATAGGGAACACAGAGCTCATCAAATGTCACTGGACTGTAACTTCTGTCAGTACTACATAGCACAGCCAGTGGTGAGGGATGATGAGAAATGCAGTCCCAGAAAATTTGGAAGGACACTACTAGTCTACTTATACTTCTGTCCTAAATGGAAAGGAACACCGTGCCTTTCCAGTATGCTCTTTTTATACTGCCTGTTCTTGGTGCACTTGCAGAATTTAATTTTACAGTGACCATATACATAATCCTGACAAACTCCATGGAGTGCTTCCCTTTTCCTAACTCCAGAAGATAGTTCTGCAACTTTGGTTACCTTTTTCTGCGCTCAGAGGAGAAGAAAACTCAGGCCAGTCCTCATAATCGCTGTCTTCTGAACTGTCCTCCTCCTCCTCTTCCTTCTTTTGGAGAGGGACCTCCTGGTTGGGGATATCCTTGGCATCTAGTCGCTTCAGATGGGGCAAGGCTGCCAACACACTCTCCCTTTGGATGTCAGACAAGAACACACAAGCTATCCAGCCAGGGGGACAAACAAAACACTTCATCTCCAACGCACACAGCAATCTTCCTATTGAAAGGTAAATGCCAGGGGACCCAGAAACTGCCTGCAACCATTCCTCAAGTCTGGACAATTTTTTTTGGTGGTTAAACACAGAGCAGAACAAAAACAGAATTTTTGCTGGGGATAACCACTTAATTTTTCAAAAAAAGAGACAGTGTAGTCCTGCTTCCTCCTCTTATGCCCTCTAATGATTCTGTGCCCTCTTTTTACTAACATTATTTGTTCTGTGGTACAGTCACAGTAGGGGCTGGTTTCTCAAGGCAAATGATTTGCTGCCCGTGCCCAAGCTCTGGCTACTTGCCTCTCCCCCGGCCAGCCCACTCCTGCCTGTGTCCTTACCAGGCACAGATAGTCAGGGCTCCACTGTGTTCCCCTCCTGTGGGTCTTTTAGGCTCACACTGTGTTTATGGGAAGGGGTGGGAAAGTAAAATGAATGGGTGTGAGTGAATAAACAAAATGCCGAGTTTTGGACTGAGGCACACAGAGAAGCAGCAGCCAATAGGGACATTTTAAATCTGGATCTAGGGTGTTCTTTTATCTCTCCACAGCTTAGTCGTGGAGTGTGTGAATTGAGTGAGGGTGGCCTGAGGGACTGCCTGCTTCTCTCTTATTTGTGTGGGTGTATGAATGCTTACATGCTCACTGATGGGTGGCTATTTGTATGGGAGTACTCAAGATTGTTCCTGACCGTTCCTGTCACCACTTGCTGCTGTACTTTCTGCCCCACCAACCACAATGCCACTAGTTGTACGATAGCTCAACCTCCCATTCCTGCCGGTTGTCTAGTGTGAGAACAAGAGGAAGGCCCCACTGAGGCAGCAGATATGTCTACCTATGAGGTGAATGACAGCACTCTTGATGGAAAGCCATGTCTGCATGAGGCTAGTGAACAAGGTATTACGAATAGATGTAGATTACTTCTTGGTTTTACCTGTAACCTTTCTGCTTCGTGCATTTATTTCCTGTCAGGTCAAGGACAACAAGGTTCCGAGGCAGTTCATCTGCACAAACCATAAGGGAGAAAGAGTTAGGGAAGCTAGTGGGGCTGGAAGCAAATACAGTCTGTTGTAGTTTTGAGAGTGCAGAATTGGCTCATTAAAGCTTAGTACTCGTGGGGAAAAAGAGGAACAAACCCTTCCCTCCCCATTTAAAAAACAGGAGCTGCTGTTCTTATAACAGACACAGCTGATACACAGGGTACACAAACTCAGTTGAAACAAATAGGAGCTATACTGTGCAAAGTGTGATGGTGCCCATTTATCTCAGTGAAGCCTTGTGTACAATGTCCTGAGCTTTTCTGTATTTGCATGTTTTGCTAAATACAAAAATATACAGGAAAACTAAAAACTAAAAAAAAAAATAGGATATATTCTGTACAAGAGAACGTGCCCATTTATCTCAGTGAAGCCTTGTGTAGAATGTCCTGGGCTTTGCTGTATTTGCATGTTTTGCTAAATAACAAATGTACAGGAAAACTAAAAACTAAAAAAATAGGATATATTCTGTGCAAAAAAACATGATAAAGCAGAACTGGAAACACATCAGAACTCATAGAGTTGTCACCTCTGCTTTTCTTTCTCCCTTTCTGCTCTCAATGAGAAGACCACTGTCTTAACTAGATCTTGAACCAAGGCTGCCGAGAACGATATATTGTATGTGGCATGTGAAACAGGGCTTGGTTTTTACTGACAGCTGTGTTTCATTCAGGGCTGGGGATGCTGTGTCCTCCAGAGGTTTTGGACTTTTATCTCCCAGAACCCTAGGGAGCATGTCCCATTATAAGACATCATGGAAAAACTGTCATTCCGCACTTTCAGTTTAATTTGTGACATCATTGAACCAGAGAAGTGCAGAAAGTAAATATTGGGCACAGGCTTTTTAAAAAGCTTTCTAGTTTGTATTAAAGCCATGAAGTTCAATTAAAAAAGATGTTAGGAACACCAGACAAACTTTAGAAACTCAAATTTCTAGCCTATAATAAGGCTGTGAAGAGTATGTGTTTTAAGAAAGTAATGTAAAGAAAAAAATAGGTAACAAAGGTGGGGTTGCATGAGATTCCCTGTGGGCAAGAAAGTGGGGAAGGTGCTATGCAGAAGCCTCTGACACTGTAACAAATCCAAGTGAATATATACACCTTTAGTTTGTCTAACCCGCACAGATTACAGAATTTATGTTACTTTGTTGTAGAGTTGCATTAGCAATTATTTTTTTGTTCTTACCACCCAGCATATATTATTGGCTGTATTACACCTGGGAATTTCAGCTGTGTTGCGCTTTTTAAAAAGCTTTCTAGTTTGTATTAATGCCATGAAGTTCACTTAAAAAAAAAGATGCCCAGGTCATTGAGAAAGCTCATTGGAGACTATAGCTATACTTGGTACCTAGAAATACATACCTGTATCCAAAGTCTCAATGCAGTTCTGTGAAAGATCCAGAAACTGCAGCTGCATGAGATTCCCTGTGGGCAAGAAAGTGGGGAAGGTGCTATGCAGAAGCCTCTGACACTGTAACAAATCCAAGTGAATATATACACCTTTAGTTTGTCTAACCCGCACAGATTACAGAATTTATGTTACTTTGTTGTAGAGTTGCATTAGCAATTATTTTTTTGTTCTTACCACCCAGCATATATTATTGGCTGTATTACACCTGGGAATTTCAGCTGTGTTGCGCTCTCTCTCTCTCTCTCTTTTCTTTTTAAAATTTTTAACAGTAGAGCCCCAGGTCATTGAGAAAGCCCATTGGAGACTATAGATATATTTGGTACGTAGAAATACATACCTGTATCCAAAGTCTCAATGCAGTTCTGTGAAAGATCCAGAAACTGCAGCTTTGTGAGGCACTGGAGGTTCTCCACTTTGCTGATGCAATTCCCGGCTAAGGATAAGAATCTGCGATTGTCACATTGGACAGTAAGAAGCTGATATTATGAGACGGAGCAAACCTCTGAAGCCTCTGGCTTCAGAAGAAGGCAAATTGTACTGAGGTTATGATATACTACAGTCCAGTTAGTAAAAGGTTTGATGGATGACATCATAAAGACTTTGATTTAACTCTCACCATGCATCAGATTACAATCCCTTACTATTGGCCATGTTGGGGAAGGGAGGTCAGAAGGAAGTTTGTCCAAAACACCTGGACGCCTAGTATTCTGCCCGCCCACCGCAACTGCCACACAACTTCTCTTCATTTATCATACAGCTCTTTCCCTCCCTCTGCTGTACAGATGCTCAGTTTTTGTTGGCTTATTACTTCCATTTGCTCACACTTTGGCTTCTGCATCTCCTGTCGAGCTGCCTCCAGTGCCTTAAAGGGTTTTTCCTGCCGTGTTCATCAAAGTCCTCTTATATCCTCTTCAGGTCTCAACAAAATCTGTTACTTGTGCAGAACCTTTACAGAAGCTTTGTTGCCTCTCTTTTCCCACTTCTACTACTTAATCCATGTCACTTTCCTATCCCTGTTGAATCAGATCAAAGTCCATCTACCAAGGGCAACTGCTGTTCCAGTGCTTTTGGACTGCAATCCCCAGAAGCCTTAGCCAGCATAATTAATTATCAAGGATGCTGGGAGTTGCAGTCCAACATTCTAGAGGGCCATGTTTCTGAGCCCCAAAGTAACCAAGCGTATGACTACCATGCATTCATTAGAAGGTCACAAGTAGGTCTTATCCATGCATTAAAAATGGCCATGCTGAATGGGGGGTTGTGAGAGTAACAGTCCAAAATATTAACTTTCCCTAGCTCTGGTCTTTTCCATTTATTAGAGACTGCAATTCGTTTGCAGCGACGCTGTCGGTTTCTATTTTGTGCACTATCTTTCATGCTGGTTTGAGCCCCAAAGTAACCAAGCGTATGACTACCATGCATTCATTAGAAGGTCACAAGTAGGTCTTATCCATGCATTAAAAATGGCCATGCTGAATGGGGGGTTGTGAGAGTAACAGTCCAAAATATTAACTTTCCCTAGCTCTGGTCTTTTCCATTTATTAGAGACTGCAATTCGTTTGAGGCAGGGACCCTGTTGGTTTCTATTTTGTCCACTATCTTTCATGCTGTTTTTTCTGCATATAAAACAGAAATCAGTGTGGTAGAACGTCTAACTCATCTCGTGTCTGCTACTTCAAATTTCTAATAATTTGGATTTAATTTAGGGACTGCTGGCTGAATACATGTGGATTTTTTTTCACTTGACCATCCCAATATAATGAATTGACCTTTTCAAGCTTTTGCTTATTTGTAAGCTTATTTTGCTTATTTTTAAGCAGTTGTTCCATGCAGTAAAGACAAGAAACATCACTTACTTTAAGTTAGGGAAGCTGCTTAAGTTTTCAATTTTCTGTATTTGGTTCTGAAAATGAAATTAGTATTAGTCAATGTAGGAACTTCTGCATCACTAAGAAGTTTATAAACTTCCCAAGGAGCTTGTGAAGGAAGGTGTGCACATTTGAAGAGTTTTATTTTCCTGAAAATTATGTATAATGTTGCAAAGCTTGGGGCTCACTGAAGCCTACTGATCCCTTCTTGTTGTGTATGGGTATTGTTCCTTTTTTGACTATTCAAGCAGGAGCATTCATAGGCTGAATGTTGGAAACAGAAGTATGTGTGTATATATATATATATATATTCACACAAGTGTATTTCTGCTGTCTCTGTTTCTAGTTTAGTGCTCCTGGTAAGTTATCATATCCCTTGAAGAACCTAACCCCACCTGCAGGTCTGCTTGGTACGGTGTCTTTAGAACTAAAATCAAGGTTTTGTGGCAAATCAAGTCAAATTACAAAATCTTCAATTTGTGTGGCTGTTTACAAGCTCCATATATCTGTGGCCATGCTAGCTGTGGATTCTGTAAATTGGACCCTCAAAATATGACTTTTCCAAGCACACAAACCACAGTTCTGGAAATGCTGTTCAGCCTCCAGAAGAAAAATTATGCATCTAATATCACCTTCTGTACTTGTGTGGCATAATTACACTGTGTATGCACTAGCCTTGACTACATTGGCTTTGAGTGTTAGAATATGTTGACCAGGGTGGACAAAGTACATCACAAGTGGAGAGTCACCACAGCAAACTGTGGCTTCTTTGTATCTTATACTGCTCCAGAATGGCATCTAGTCAGTACTGTGGCTTCACCCTTCTTTCATTAGTATTATTTAAAGTTAATTAATTCTTAAAAAGATCTGTTTTTGAGGAAAATGAATGCTGTTTGCCTTAAGAATCTTAAGCAAGGAAGTCTTCTATCTCCATGTCTACTTCCTGGCAGGAAACTTCTAGAAATCAGTCCAGTGAGAGGGAAAAGAACAGGCATTTTTTACAAAAAAAAAAAAAAGGGGGGGATAAGATCTTTTTCAGAATAAAGGAACACTAACTGAAGAGAGAAAAAAGTTACAAAATTGACTAGATGCTACCACAAAGCTGTATAAGCAGAAGAAAAGATTTATCTTGTTGTTTTTAATCTTAACCATATGAAACCTTAATAAACTTAATTATATCACTATACTCTTATAAATAATACAGTACTATAAAATTTGATAAAATTAATAGTAAATTAATTACTTTAACCTATGGCAATTACTTTTTAGCGATTTAATTTTTAAAAAAATTAGCTAACTTGGTTGTATCCCTCATATTTTGGCTATGGCCCCTAGATAATGTGGTCCTTGGAATGGCGGCAAATCAGAAAAATGACTTGCAAGCCTTCCTGACTTGTCCATCCTGATGTAGATGGACCACAAAGTAAGAATCACCCACTTTTGCTAAGTCATATTCCCATGTTTCTTTGTGATATCTAAATAAGAGTGCACTAATTTTTTAGGCCATCTGTTTAAGAGCAAGATTGCTGTATCAGGAGGAATCTCCCTTTTACCATAAAAGGGAGATCTATAAGTCTACTCAGTGGGTGCTCCTTTATCCCATTATCCCTAGATAAAACCAGAGTTGCACAGCACCTAAAAGGGCATAATTTAACCTAAAATAAGTAATTTTTAATTTTTAATAAACAAAAGATAGCTGTGCTGGTGGTACAATTTGGGAATGGGGGAGAAGATGGTTTGTTTGTTTTTTAAGTACAGTACAACCATTATTTTAAATACGATTGTCATGAGATCTGTATTTTTATCCATCCTTAAGCTGCAGATTACTGGTTAAATGGAAATTACTACAAGGTGTGTTAGTTATTAGGTTGCAGAATTCTGGGACAAAATAGCAATGTCCAACTCAAACTTTTATAGTAGGACTGTGACCAGTACAGTCTTTATGGCCTCACTGTAGTCATATTTGCCATTATAGTCCTTGATTTACTTTCCAAATAATGAAGACTTCTGGAGAAAATGAAAACTGTGTCACTATAGTGTGCTAATTTGGTTGTTCCTAATGTAGCCATTCTTTAGGGCCACATTTGCTATTTGCCTTATAAATCCTATATTTATATTATCAGAGGAGAGGGAGGCTAGTGTGTATGCACATCTCAAGCCAATGAGGATTAGAATGTGATCTTCAGAGACAACACTGAAATAAGGCAATAAAGAATGTACTAAAACATGGTACCTGCTGTAGGTAGATACTGTGGATCTGTTCTAAACCTTGCAAGTTTGTGATATGGTTTATGTTCTCCCTGTCAAGCCGCAGGACTTGAAGAGAAGTCAAGGCTTGGGATCTGAAATGGAAGAGATGTGTTTCAGAAGTCAGCGCTGCCTTTCTTGGCTCTCTCATCCTTCCTTCCTTTCCCAAGTATTGTTACCACCAGAATATGCCAATGTAAAGAAACATACTCACATATTATCAGGTGTCTCTCTGTCCCTTGGTATGGTCAAGTTCCTCTGGGCAATGAGGGATTTGGTCAAGTTCACTCCTCCTTTGGGGGACCTCTGTGAATTCTCTGAAAGCAGCAGCATAGGGGTTTCTGCTTATCTGCATCAGCTAGAGCCAAACTATGCATTACATCTATGCATTACAACCGAGTAGAAGTCAGAATTCCTTAAGTCCTGAAGGATGTGTGTTTTATCAAATGAGGAGCTTTTCACACATCCCTAAGTTGGTTAATGGCTGTGATGGAACCCTCTCCAAATCTACCTGGTAACACCAAAAAGGAGCTTATTGGATGAAAGAAGGCAGGAAGAGAAGGGACAGTAATTCTTGTTTCCCAAACTTATTGGATGAAAGAAGGCAGGAAGAGAATGGATCAAGAAGAAAAGAAGGAAAAAGTTAACTTGTTTTCCCAAGTAGGGGGTGAAGAAAGTACAGTAATTCTTGTTTCCCAAAGAGGAAGGTTGGATTTTAGAGTGGGCTGTATAAAGACAAATACTTTGTATCAGAGAGAGTAAGGTCTGTTGTGGTAAAGCTGGTCTTTATGATTAATGTAACCTATTGTTTATTTCAATAAAGATTTTATTTTTATGTTTAAAGATCTTATTTTTATGTTTAAATATTAAAACTGCTTGGGCTCTGGGCTTAAGGCAAGCCTGGTTAAAAAAACAGTAAAGGACAATTTAAAGGCGATTAACCAGGTTGGTAAAAGGTAAAGGTAAATGTTCCCCTTGACAATTTTTGTCCAGTTGTGTTCGACTCTAGGTTGGAACTTGTCACAATTGCTTGTTTTGTTTTGTGTTGTTTCTTTTGCATCTAACTATGGGCTTGGTTGCCTAAAGGTCTGGCTAACTTTGTTTTTGAAATAGTAACAGATTTCAGTTTTCAGTCATGGGCTATCTATAATATATGATTTGGCCATCAAAGCCAAATCAATGGTCAGTTCACATGAAGTCTAGATTAGGTCTAGGAAACTAAAATAAAAACAACCATGTCTTCTAAGGACTTGAACACTTTTTTGGTGGGGGAAGAGAACCATCTGGGTCTAGCAAAGTCTTGTAAATGACCCCACAAGAGACTTTCTTTTTCCAATGTATGTGACTGTTCCCATTTTATTCTCATAATTTTCTTCTGAGGTACCCTAGGCACCCCATCTGGTTCACTGTCAAGTGGAGTTTTGAACTTCTTTATTCTTCTTTCAGGGATAGAGTGCATAGCAGGGGTGGGTATATACGGCCCACCAAGCCTCTCCCAGCTCCCCAAATGTCCACAAAATGGAAAAACAGGCTGCACTTTGATTTGCCATTAAAATATAATTTCACCAGACGGTGAAAATATTCTCTGGGCATATTTTAGGCCAGATAATGTTTTTTAAAAAAAACTGGAAGTGACACATTTTGGGGGTCCCATTGAGGGCTCACATGTGGTGTGTGGTTCACCATGATATGACATTGGCCACAAATGCCTACCAGAAACTTTGAAGTAACTCATCTCAGCACTACTCCATATTCTACTACGGTAAAACAATACCCTCCCCTCATCAATATGTTATTCTGAACAGTGAAGGGTCTTGAGGAACATCTGTCTAACATACATAAGACACTTGTGAAAAGGAAGATGGTTACTAGATGAAATAACTTGTTCTTAAGCCAGAGCAGATGACCAGGAGGAAAAGGCTGACTCATAATTTGGTACTGAAATACTGTATTGTATGACTATTTCTTATTTGAGTTTTGATGTGTCAATTATCAAGAGAAGAATATCATGGGGCCGGACTGACAGAAAGATTTCATGTGAAGCAGTATTAGTAATAATAGATCAGTTATGACCAGTTGAAGTCCTGTTGATTTCCGATAGCCTATACTAAATGACTTAACCTATATACAACCCACACTATACATCTCAGTTTATCACAAAGAATTTATTTATTAACAAATGGAAAAAACTCTCCTGCTACTTTCTATATAACTAATACTTTTGTTGCAAATATCAGTGTCAATGAAATAAAATACAAAATATTTGAAAATTAAACCTGTTTCAAAGAACAGATGTATTTATTTTGACTGACTGCTTCTCATAGGCTAAAAACAACTCCTTAGTATATTCTACCTACCTTGTGGCCTGTACCTAAAGAAACAACTTTGAATACACAAAAGGAGATAACCCAAACCACATTAGTGGCTCCTGTCAAAAGCTCATTCTGTAATAATCCACCAGTTGGACTCAGCAGTCAAGCATGTAATTTGTACATTTGCCCTTTGTATGCCTTTTTGTAAGCATTTCCTTTTGAAGATGGAAGCAATAGAATTAAAAAGATAATTTGACTAATCTGGCTAAGCATCAAAAGACTTCAGAATGGTTTTTCATGGTCAATGGTGTTCCTGAGGGCAGGGCCATATTTTTTGCTCCAAAAAACGCATTAGGGCTTATTCTCAGGGTATGTTTTATTTTTTTCCATGTACAACAATCTAGATTTATTCAAAATACAGTCATGTCATCTTCTGGTTGATGCACGATGGGGGAGGGCGGGGTTTCACTTAACTGGGGCTTATTTTGGGGTAGGGCTTATGAGCAACCTGGAAAATCATACTAAGGCTTATTTTCAGGTTATGTCTTATTTTCTGGGAAACGGGATTACTCACCTCCTGTCATCATGGATGAAGAAGGTCACTAGCTTGGATGTAGTTCCCAGTTAAAAACAAGGCAGTCCCACAAAATCAAACAAGAGGCCTATGTGATTTGGGGGTTGCCTGGGAGAGTCTCGTGAGAACTATAGTCTTGCAACTGCCATCCTAGTAAAAGTCCCCTGACAAAAGTCCCCCCCCCTTAGCAACAGCCTGGGGGCTACCTAGCAACTGTTAGAAAGTCTGTGGAGCTAAACGAAAGTTGCTGCAAATTTCTCAGCAAGGTTTGAAGCGGAAGTTTTGCATGGCGTCCCCGTTCACAACTTGGTTTGGCGAGTGTTTTGTTGCCTAGCAACAGCGCCACAAGAAACTTGCTGAGGGCCTCT